AATATTTTGTAAAAGATGGGGTGTATTAGTCTGTTTTCAGGCTGCTGATAAAGACATACCCAAGACCGGGCAATCTACAGAAGAGGTTTAATTGGACTTACAGTTCCACGTGGCTAAGGAAGCCTCACAATCATGGCACAAGGCAAGGAGGAGCAAGTCCCGTCTTACATGGATGGCAGCAGGCAAAGAGAGAATGAGAGAGATGCAAAAGGGGAAACCCCTGATAAAACATCGGATCTTGTGAGACTTGTTCACTACCACGAGAACAGTATGGGGAACCTGCCCTCATGACTCAATTATCTCCCACCAGGTACCTCCCACAACACATGGGAATTACGGGAATACAATTCCAGATGAGATTTGGGTGGGGACACAGAGTCAAACCATATCATGGGGTTCTGCCATGTTGCTCAGGCTGGTCTCAAACTCCTGAGCTTAAGCAATCCATGCACCTTGGCCTCCCAAAGTGCTGGGATACAAGCATGAGCCACTATGCTGGCCGAGTTATGATTTCATTAGTGAAACCTTGAGCGTAAGTCTTGACCTAAGATCACTGTAGTACAAGTTATTAACTAAAACAGCATTAATACCCTTAAATATTAAAAAAAAATATTTACTCTTTGCATTCTTTTGTATCTCTCTATGCACATTCTAGATCCATTGCTCAGTCAGCTCCATCTGGTTTTCCCAATATTATATATACTACTTTCTATAAGAAATCATTTTGGTCTCGCTCTGTTGCCCAGGCTGGAGTGCAGTGCTGTGATTACGGCTCGCTGTAGCCTCAAACTCCTGGCCTCAAACAATCTTCCCACCTTGACCCCCCAAAGAGAAATTAAACCCTAAGTCCACACAAAAATTATAAATGAATGGTTACAGCAGCATTATTATTAATAGCCAAAAAGTGGAAACAACCCAACTGTTCGTCAACTGATAAATGGATTAAAAAATGTGGTATATCCATACAACATAATGGCAATAAAAAGGAATAAAGAATGATTGATGGTGCATGCTACAAAACAGATGAATCTTGAAAACATTATGCTAAGTGAAAGAAGCCAGGATGGGTGCAGTGGCTGACATCTGTAATCCCAGTACTTTGGGAGGTCAAGGCAGGCAGATCACTTGAGGCCAGGAGTTTGAGACCACCCTAACCAACATTCCAAAACTCCATTTCTACTAAAAAAAAACAAAAAACTAGCAGGGTGCAGTACTGTGTGCCTATAGTCCCAGCTACTCAGGAGGCTGAGGCAGGAGAATTGCTTGCACCCAGGAAGTGGAGGTTACAGTGAGCCAAGATGGCACCACTGCATTCCACCTGGGGCAACAGAGTGAAACTCCATCTCAAAAAAAAAAAAAAAAAAAAAGATACCAATCACAAAAGACCACATATTATATGATTCTATTTATATGACATGTCTACATAGACAGAATCAGATTGCTAAGGATCGGAGAAGGTGGAAATGGAGACTAGCTGTTAATGAATACAGGGTTTCTTTTAGGGATAATGAAAATGTTCTAAAACTACTGGCAATGATTATTGTACAAGTCTATGAATACACTACAACACACTAGATAGTACACTCCAAATGGGTATATAGTACAGTGTGTGAATTATATCTCAATAAAGCTATTATTGAGGCTGGGCATGGTGGCTCACCCCTGTAATGCCAACACTTTGCAAGGATTAAGGAAGGAGGAGAATCACATGAAGCCAGGAATTCGAGACCAGCCTGGTCAACACAGCAAGACTCCACCTCCACAAAAACTAAAACCAAAAAATTAGTCAGGGTCAGGCATCGGGGCTCACACTTGTAATCCCAACACTTTGACAGGCCAAGGTGGGTGGACCAACTTGAGGTCAGCAGCTCAAAAGCAGCCTGGTCAACATGACAAAACCCTGCCTCTACCAAAAATACAAAAATTAGCCGGGTGTGGGGTGCACGCCAGTAATCCCAGCTACTTGGATGACTGAGGCATGAGAACAGCTTGAACCCAGGAGGCAGAGGTTGCAGTGAACTAAGATAGTGCCACTGCACTCTAGCCTAGGCGACAGAGCAAAACTCTGTCTCAAGAATGAATGAACAAATAAATAAACAAATAAAATTATCTTAATATAAAAAGATACAAAAAAGAACATCGATTATAAAAAATTATGAATGGGATTATTGATAATTTAACAGTCTCATTTAACATGATACCATTCTAAATTATCAAAATATTTAATGCAAAATACACAAACATTTTCCATGATTTATTATCTGTCTATCCTAAGAGACAAATCTTATTTTATTTTGAGACAGGGTCTCTTCTGTTGCCCAGGGTGAGTGCAGTGGCATGATCACAGCTCACTGCAGCTTCAACCTCCCAGTCTCAAGCGATCGTCCTACCTCAGCCTCCCAAATAGCTGGAACTACAGGCACACACTACCACATCTAGCTAATATTTGTAATTTTTGTAGAGATAGGGTTGTGCTGTGTTGCCCATGCTGGTCTCAAACTCCTGGACTCAAGCAATCCTCCCACCTCACCCTCCCAAAGTCCTGGGATTACAAGAGTTAGCCACCGCATGCAGTCAATAAACCGTCTTTTAAAAGGCATCAATTCAACACTTTTAAACTAAGTTAAATTTGATTATTTAGACTCTTTCCATGGTACAAGGCTGCATAATTATTCCATTCTTTCCTTACTGATTGAATGGTAGATCTCCAGGTAATTTTTAAAATTAGAAATTAGTCAGAATTGAGTTCCTTGAAATTGATTTCCCTAATGAGTGCTAAAACTGTAGCTTAGTTTAATCTCACTGCCAAGTTCTTTCTCCCACACTTAAAGCTAATCCACTCAAAGAAAACTTAGCTGTAGTGCAGTCAGCCAACAAATGGCACTACACAAAAAGGCCACACTTTGTGGCCTTACAACTCTCTTGTAAGCCATGAAGCAAAATATCCTCAAGTCAAAAACCGAGATATACTTTCCTTACACAAGGAATTACTTTCTTTGGCAACACTGCAGTATTGCTTATCATTTCAGATGACAAGTTTTCCAAAGCTTTATCTAAGTACTTCATAAAATATTTTGCGTGTGTGTGCATCTTTTAGACAAACTTTGTTTCCAAACTCACAGAGAACTGTTTCTTTTTATGAAACAGTCACTCTCTACCAACTGTATTTTCCCTTAAAACAGACACTTTAAAATATATGCAGTGTAACTTTTGTTGATTTTTCCCTACATATATAATTAATGTTTTGATAGCTCCATATGGCCTGATACTTTTAAAATCTGTCTCAAGGTTTTTGAATATCTTCCCCCATCACAAGGTGAAAACACTGGAGCAAGAAGTTGAATCCAATCTCTCTCCCCAACTGCAAGATCCTGTTGTTGTGATCCCCACACCTATCACCATTGGCTCCTATGAATAAAGTATGCCTTACCAACTTATATTAAAAAAAAAAAAAAAAATGGAGCAAAAATATTAAAACACTCAAAGGGGAAATTTTTTTTAAAAGCAAACTAAGCAAGTAGGCACCTCTTGACAGCCAAAAAGAATTGTTAATATATTAAAGATAAAAAGTTGTCCCTAGGAGAAAGATGATCACAGAATAAGAATAAAAGCAAACAGTGACTGACCTTACTGTAAGCTTTGCCCCATAACGTGGTAGATCACAGTGACTGCCTTTGGGAAAGAAACCTGGAGAACCCATGGTTGAAGGAGTCTGATTCACTTTATCTGACAGAGCATTTCACAGTTAATATTCTACTATATGAATAGAGTAAGCTGAAATGGAAGAAGGAGTTATACCCCACCACACTTCTTTAAATGTCATAATTTTACCAGCCACAAATAATTAGTGAATTTCGATGTATGTAAATGCAGCTCCTCTTGGCTCTGTTAGAATAAAGATGAGTCTCATCCTAGATCTCTGATCTGATTTCACATCTATTTCCTGTCTGCTTATCATTGGTCTTTTTCTCCTGAACAGACTCCTAAATTAACAGCATCCAGAACAGGTTACATTAAATGTCCTATACCACACAAAGGCATACTGGATCAACAAAGAAGAGTGTAACAGACAGCTAGTTTTATAATGAACTATTTAATTCAAGGAGGCTATTAAGAACTCAATAATAGTAGCTATCTCCTGAGTGTTTTAAATGTATTGTTTCATTTAATTCACACAACAATCCATACCGACATTTTACATTTGGGAAAGCTGAGACACAGAGAGGTTCAGGTGATTTGCCTAAGATCTCAGCAGAGGCTTAAATCCAGATCTTTCAGACTTTATACAACAAATGGGTAGCCACTGTGTATTATTATCAACAGGCAGCAGATGTTCTAGAATAGTAAATCAGAAAGCAGTTCCTTAAAGTTTATGAAATACAAATTTCTCTACTTTAGTAACTAATTTAAAAAGCAGTATATGCATTGATAATATAACCCACTTAAACAATTTTTGTATTACTAGTAAATAATTTCCTAAAAGCAAAATTCTCTTTTTATACTGGTAAAGACCCTTGAAGAATAAACCTATTACTAACTTATTATCTACACTTGAACATCATCATTCATAAAGATTAAATTAGAGCACTCCAAACTAGCTTTAAGTCAGTCAAAAAAAATCAAACATAGTTACATGTCCAAGGAAAAAATAATTCACAGTTTCTTAAAAGGTACCTTCTCCCTGCTTCCTGTTCCTTCCCAAAGAATACTGCTAACCCTAAATTAGCAATAGCTCCATCATCCGCAACACGTTTCTATGTATTCAAACTTCTTCTACAAAGGAGTAAATCAACTTTTAAATCTTCTAGTATTATCCTAGTATCCGCTGTCTTCTGGTATTATAAGATAAAGAAATTCGATTCTATTTCTTAAAAAAAAAAAAAAAAAAATTTTCTTTCAATGTGTTTTGTAAAAGCTGCAGAGGTGAAAGATTCTAAGCCATAATTAAGTCAGCTATGAAAAATTACCATAGATAAACTGTTCATTTGTTAAAAGGATATAATTTGGAGGAAGAAAGTTCCAGCTCAAGACTTGATTGGCAAGTGCAAGGTAACGCTGAAATACTGAAGACATCTGAGCATTGAGGTTTTCCCGCCTGCTGAACTCCTGCAGAACTTCAACAGTTAACATGAAGATCTGACGAAGGTCTTCTTCCTATAGTCAATAAATCGCAGATATTTTATGTGAAAAATTTATTGGAAATGTATTCCCTTTTAGAACCAGGAAACAAAACAAACAAAAACCTTAACATTTCCAATGGAAAGCACTATTTCCTTAAGAACATTTTCCATTTTTAGGCCTCTGCTTGTAATTTACATCACAGTATGCTTTCAAGTGACGCCAGCTGTAAGACATTTACTCGAATATAAACATTACTTCCATAGAAAAGAGAGTCTTTGACAACTAATGCAGAGCTGGAGGAGTCAGTTGCTATAGTGCAGAGCCCTAGGATTTAAGCCAATGCCTTCACATAACTTTACTCCAGAGCCAAACAATACATACGAGACAAAGAGCCCACACCATCTGCAATAACACTTGAAATACATGGCCTTCTGGCATTCCTCCAGACCTATTTTTAAGGCCAGCAGAGTCCCATCAATTGAATTAGTTATATCTAAACACAATAAGAAATAAATAATAAACTAAAGATCTTTTTAGAAGTATTGTTTTTAAGACAAGAATTAAACAAGTAATTTTAAACCATCAACTACATTCATCAAACCTATCACTTTACTATACCCTTTGAAATCACAAAACAAATCCTGAAGTACAGGCTATCATTCAACTACATAAAATAAATACTCTCATGTCATTAGGAATACATTGAGTAAAAAGTGAATGATCCGATAATTAAAATTCAAGGAAAAAAATATCAATACCTGAAAAACTCTTTTGCAGTTACCATGGAATTCCATGCTCAATCCAATGTTGCTAGTTTTACTTGAACTTGAAAATTCACTCAATAGTGCAGTCAGAATAGAACAGGCCAGAGTTTGCTGTAATTATTTGATAAGAAATAATTGCGAGGCATTACTTTTTCAATGCTTTGAAATGCATTTGAACACAATGGAACATAATGGAACATTTTCTCCCTATCTTTAGATCTTTCACTATATCTTTAGATCTTATAACAACCAGTCAAAAAATTAGATATGACAAAATAAATATTAGCTCTCCTTTCTAAGTCGTCTGGTAAGTGTTAATAGTACCTCCTCAACTGCAGTTAAGATTTGAACTCAGGATACACTGCTCCTACTCAATAGTGGAATTCAAACGCTATTTCAAAATAATCAATGTTGACAGTATTATTTTGGTGAATTTGCAGAACAATCTATATCCTCATTTTACATTTGAGAGAAGCGAGTTGGAGAGAGTTAAGTACTTACCTAAGGCCAACTGAGATTTGAACACATTTGTTTGACTCCCTATTCTGTTTGTAAAATGCATTCCCAAATAGATGAAAAGTGAAACAGATTTTATAGTGTCCAAAATATTACAGCCAGGTAATACTCAAAAGTTTTTAAATTAAAAAATGAAGATTTTCCTTCTCATTGGTTCTATCCAACAGGCTCCTAATATCAACTCATTGATTTTATTCCCAGATTATTTAGAGTCAACATACCAAGGATGGAAAGAGGATACAAATTATTTTGGCAACTTTCCAGGAGTTAAACAGAAATATGCACACTACCTCTGAACAACCGAAAGATTAAAGTCAAGATGATACTATTTATGCAAGCTTATCCAACAGCTGAACACAGTCATATCCACCCACCAACTGCAACATCTTTGTTCAGAAATGCTTCTGATGTCAGTACCTTGACCTTACAGACACTTATCGTGGTAAATCTTAGTGAATAATTTAATGATATTAAATTCCTAAAAATTGGCATGAAATATGTTGAAGGTGAGTGATGACTCCATGAGTGACTAATAGACTATTTGTCCATTTTGTATATGTCTAAAATGTTCCTTTAAAAAATGTAAATACAGGCTGGGTGCAGTGGCCTGTAATCCCAACACTTTCAGAGGCTAAGGCAGGCGATCATCTGAGGTCAGAAGTTCGAGACCAGCCTGGGCAACATGGTAAAACCCCGTCTCTACTAAAAATACAAAAAAAAAAATTAATCAGCTGGGCATGGTGGCGGGCACCTGTAGCCTCAGCTACGTGGGAGGCCGAGGCAGGAGAACTGCTTGAACCCAGGAGGTGGAGGTTGCAGTCAGCCAAGATCATGCCACTGCACTCCAGCCTGGGTAACGGAGTGAGACTCCATCTCAAGAAAAAAAAAGTAAACATAAAATTAAATTTTTATTTGCCTCTTAATCTCAACTAAAACAAGCATGACTATACAGCTAATATTTATGAAAGGCACAAAACCCTATACATTAAACAAGTTTCTGAGACTTTTCCACACTTGGAAATGCAAATTCTCTAGGGAATCCAGGGGTATGATCAAAGATCCCTTCTGCAACAATAAGAGTTCTCCGAATGCTACTGGTTTGGCAGAAACACACACATTTTGTAATTTTACTTCAAAATATATGACTTAATATAAAAACATCCCTTCCCCCTAAAATCTTCAAAACCTCCCAAAATCTACGGCCCTAGGCACTTGGAGAGAAAAAAAAACAGGCACTAAGGCCTCTCACAGAAAAACCAGTCGATCACATATTCCTGTCATTTTACTGTTTAAAGAGACCTCAGAAATTCAGAAAGTACAATCTCTTTGTTTTCAGTTATCAAAATCATTAATTTTCAAAAAAAAAATTTTTAATGATTAATGATTACAGTGCCAGCAATTCACACCAGATAGATACAGTTAAATAACATCAGGATTCCACTCTAAACATGATTTTTAAACACAGCTAGGCTTTGGTGGAGAAAGTAGATGTTGAATCAAATTAATGAGATTCAAAGAAAAAAGCTAACTCACAATGATCTAACGATGAATCCCAAGATCCTAGGATCCTGAAAATAATTTTTCATTTAGACTTGGCTTTTCACTTATCCTTTCTAAGACTTCATTCAATAAAACATTATAAACACAGCTAAATGTTTGAGAAAACTTGTCTTACTAAAACAGGAAATTAATTTCAAAATCTCAGATGAAATAACCTCTTGAAAACAGAATTCACACATAACATAAAAACCTATAAGCTGAAAGAACCTAGAAGCACTCATTAAACACAAATATTTATTCTTACAAATAAATTATATATAAACAAGTAATTTACAACTTTGCACAGAATGTTTTTTACTGCATTCACCGCAAAATGGCTTATTTTAAAACTATCACCATATTCAAGTTTTCAGGAATAGCTCTCTAATTAATTATTACAACCGTACATACTCAAAATAAAGCTTTACTTTTTCACCTGAAATAAACATTTCCCAGGATAACGTAGATGTGTTTACGGTCAAGATGAGAAACAAATGAGTGAAGGAGAGGGGCAGGGCAATGACAGGTGAAAGCCCTGCTAAAGCTACTCCTGCAACTACAAACTTTATCACACAAAACAAGGCATGGAACTGCTTCAAGTTGTAGCAATAAATATTTCCCTCCAAAACAGCAAACGTCCACACTAATGAAGTATAAATTCACCCATAAAAACAAGTACATTCTTAATTGACGAGAATTTAGAACAAAATGCACTATATAGACTTAGTTCCCTGAACACGTAAGAATCTTTTGCTTTCAAATAATTTTTTCATCCTACAAAAATATACCTCTATCTTAGAAAAACTAGAAATTATAGAAAAGCATAAAGAAAATAAAATTGTCTACAATCCTACCATATAGGAGTTATTACTGTAACATTTATAGCTTTCCAATTTTTTAATGCACAGATATAAATTTTTATATACCATTGCTATCAATCCACATGTATTTTTACATTCTACTTTTCCACTTTGTGTCTATGCGATAAAAAAATTTTTAAAACAAGTATGTTCTATTTAAATATACCACTTAAAGACTTAAGAAATACATAAAAATAAATTATCATACAGCATTGTCAGAAGTATTCCAAGAAATCAAATATTCCAGCTTTAACTGTACCTACAATTATCAGCTTTCAAAGAACTAAAATTCAACAGGAATTTTTATCATGAAAAGATACCAAATAGTTTAAGCTCTCCTTAATTTGGAAATCCTGTAGGAATATAAGATTACCGTCATAAATATTAATCATACTACACTGGTCTGACTCAAAGGTGCCAAATGAATAGAGACTCCTGGAGAATGATGAATAATTAAACACTGATTGTACATTTAAGAGAGCAAAGACCTTCAACATATATCAACAAAGTATTTCTCCCTGTTCACAGGGGAATTAAGTATAGTACTAAACGTCTAGGACTCATTTCTAAATATGTTTGCTCATTTTCAATACTTAATTATGGATTAAATCCCCTTAAAATGAAGTCACTCTCACATTGTGTTGTAATGAAGACAGCTAGGGAAGCAAGCCAAAAATAAAACTCCCAAGGGAGAACAGGGGACAACTTCTTCCCAGGACAGAGAGCGGAAAGAAAAAAAATTAAAGCGTCCAGTCTGCCTATGGGAGATCACCAGCTTCAGCTTTTCTTACCCTTGAAGAATGTTCTTATCTGCCTCCTTCAGATTGCTAGGTCTCAACGAGCATCCCAAGTGCACTATCCACTAATTCACCCTCTACTGACCAGTACCTTCAAGTGCTGCCTCCCTGGCCTTTGTCAAAGCCAGAGCTAGATATTTTTCCATATCAGAGACAGTGGCTGATACTTAAGACAGCCGGAAACAAAAGCTGTTGTAATGAATGTCAGTGAAATCAGATCAAAGTTGACTGACTAACTGATTGATAAGAGTACAAGATTGCCATACTAAAATTCACAGGAATTTGCCCAGTATAAAACACCACTAGTACAAATCTTAGATTTCCAAGAGGTTAATACAACAATGCTTCACTTATCTAAGATCATCAAGAATTAAGCTAATATCTGATAATTTTATAAATGCAGCAAGCAAACATTTTTAATGAAAGTGACTTCCTATCCAGTTTTCTTAAAGAATTCTTTATATGGCAACTATTATAAGATATTATAGTAAAGTGACTACTTGGAAGCTATGACAACATAAGGGCCCGCTGGCAACGTGGTGCCAGATCCCAATGCTAGTTGATTTATGTCTGCTTTATAGCTTTGCTCAATCATCCTTTGCTGTTGTCTACCACTCACTGCTGCTGACAATTTGACCACCACTAACAGGTAGTTCTAAATTGATCATTTCCATTTGCCCACCAGTTAGAAACCAAATAAAATTTATTAAAATTACATCTAAAATAAACTATAAACAAAAACACTCTGCAGGACTCTTTTAGGAGTCCAACACAAGGATCCTGTTGTTTGAATCAGCTAGAAAATCTGGGCTCTAACATGCCAAGATTTCCTTCTTCAAATAACTGTGGTCAGAGCCCTTCATATACCTTGACTTCAGCTTCTTATCTATAAGGGGTACCACCCTCTGCCCTGTGTAATTTGCATGAGTGCCCTAAGGCTCTAATTGGATAATGCTTAAAAATACTATGTAATTACACCAGGTTACAAAAAGGTAAAGTGGCAGCAGTATTTTTTATCATTATCATAAAAAATAACAACCACCTATTTCAGCTTTTCTTATTCTATTCCTTGATGATCTACATTCTGCAAAATTAAAATTACTAAATGTGTTGCACCACTTAAGAAAGAGAGCTATAACTGAAGCTGTATCATTAAAGTAATGTAGTAGATATTCAATAAATGCTGTTTGAATTAATGAATCAGTGTTTACTTCTACGCCCAGCACTATGTTAACACAACAGAAGTCGGAAAATAAACGATGTGTTCCCTATTTTTTGGTTGTTTATAAATTTCTACAAGAAAATTTTAATATGTCAAAGAAGTAGAAGACATGGAATGAGGTCTCAAGGTTATTTTAAAAAATCTAATTGTCTTCTTTCATTGAAGTACTGAAAATTC